CTGTATGCTGCTTCATGCTCAGCGTATAGTCATGAGAGAAGCAGTGATTTTCATTTTATCCAAAACAAACTCCTCCTTTAAAGTGTCTATAAAACAGATGAGATGATGGATGGATTGACGAGAAACAGGACCAGTGTATGTAAGAAAGTGCCAATTAGTTTACCACCAGTTTGTACAGGCTGATGTGCATTTTACACATGACATATACTTGAATCCATGCCCCTTCTTGCTCATGGTAATTTACTAAGCATGCATGATAGCTGTCAAATGATGTGGTGTTGATAATGTTACTGGTAATACTGAGTCATATTATGTGGTTGCAGCTCAGAGACACGATATTGAAACAGTAAAAACCCTTATTGCTTAGTATAGTGGATGCTTTTCATAAGGAAAAAATGCCCTTGGAATAGATGTACTGAGTTGGAAACAGAAGTGTGAAGGTAGGAAATCAGTCAAATATCTGTGAATAGTACCATATTTATATCCATCTGTTAGTACAAAAGCACATTTTATTTTCTAGAAACTGACTTTGGCATCTTCAGTGTGTTGTTTGTTTCTAATATGTTTTACACAGAGTCAGACAGAGGGTTGTTTAGTAAGAAAACAGTAGTCAAAGCAGTAATGGGGAGAGAGAAACAAATGTCAGCCAGGTGTGCTTTTTTCTTTTTAACAGGGTGAGAAAAGCAGTGTGCCAAGAGTATACTACAACTTTACCATTCGACAATACTTTCCAGTGCATTTTCACCTTTGTCTCCAGGTTTGCAATCTGTGATTGCCTGTGTATTATAGATTGTAGTGCTTTTGTCACTATAACAGTTTTATAATTTGTACAAACATAATGACATTACTGCTTGTATGTATAATGGCTTGGCGATGTAATGATACAGGTATTCTCATCATACTCGACCTACAGTATATTAGTTGGTGTTTGGGGTCTAGAGGATTAAGTGCAATCAGAGTACACTTGGGCCAATTATTCTTACTTATTTATTATTATTTCGGACACAGGCTAAATCAAAGTACATGTAAAGCAATAACTTTTTTTGTGAACAAGAATTTTGTCAGAAATCACACGTCATTTAGAGTCAATACCAATGACTCTCACCAGAGAGACTATGTAAAAACTGTATTGTGTCAAACTGGTGTTAAAAAAAAAAAACCATTTAGTAGCATTTTCTAAGAAAACTAGATTTTTTTTGTGGCAGATAACTTCAGGTTGACTCTACATTCAGGTGTGCTACAGGAGGAGGAAGCTTTTTTTGAGATGGTGATGCACTTCTTGTTTCAATGTTTGTGTCCTGTATTTCAACTGTGTATCATTTTGCTACCATAAATTTAAGTGAAAAATAAAAACTGAAAAGGACATGTGCATTGTCATTAAACTAGTTAACTGAATGTGGTAAATACTTGAATTATGTGTACATAATGACATCCGGATACTGTCTATGAAACCAGAAAGAACTGAAGGAACTTGATATTAAATAAAGCACTCTCTGGCTTCCCTCCCAGTGATATAATTGCTGCAGCATTTCAGTCGGCCTGGAGCTTTCTGGGGTGCTGATGATTGCATTTGTTGTGTCTGCTGTCATGGCCAAGTTGAATGGATGAGGGCACTCTTTTGTCTGGGGTTCCTGTCAGTCTCCGGAGCCATTATAATATATTTGGCTGCATCTTCTCTCTTTCTCTCTCTCTCTCTCTCTCTCTCCTCTGTAAGATCTAAAAGTACCCCCCACCCCTGTGTGTAGCTAAGATCAGGAGGAACTGCCCCCCCTCTCCTCTTGTCTACTCCCTCTCTGAACACGCCTTTCTGGAGAGCTGACTTCTATTTATACCTAGCAGGGGACTGACAGTTAACCTTTTGCACTGGGGGAAATTTCTGGGAATGGGGCCAATATCTGTGGGCTATTCTGGATCAGACCCTTATTCTACAAGACTCTATGCATCTATGAATCTGTAGTGTTTCTATCCATCTATCTATCTATCTATCTGGGCAGTGATCCAGTGCCACACGCCACTTCTCTCTCCCTCCTCTTTCAGTCTCCCTTATCTTAGGCAGAATAATTGGCAGGGCTTCAACCTCCTTTCATTTCCAGCCACAGGAAAGTGAAAGACTCCATTAGAGCGCCTTCTGGTTGCCAAAAGAGTCCCTTCTCTCTCACTTCCTCTCTCTGGCCTCCCTTCAAGCAAGAAATCAGTCCTGAGCCTGTCTTATCTATTGATTTGTGCCACCTATAGGTTGACCTGGTAGACAGTTCAGTTTCATCTCATTGCAGCACCGTTGTGACTTTGAAATTTCTGATACCAAACGTCTAATCCGGCGCAGTGAATCAACTGCCAATAACCATGAAGACAGTGATGAGAACACTGAACAACTCTGCTGTTTGTATAGTAACTGCTTTTAGGTGAGGGCAGGTTTGATTTGACCTTGCCCAGCTAATAGTAAAATGCTTTGATGTTAGCAAACTAACAGTGTAATATAACCGTATGTCAGACAAAGGGGTTACTTAGAATAATTACTTTAGCTTTGATATGTTAAATACATTTTGCTGATAATACTTTTATTCATATTTTGAACACTTTTTACATGGAGTTTCCTTAGGTAAAACAATCTAAATACTTACATCAGTGGCAGCTCCTGACCCCATCTTGGCTGAATACAGATGGCCCATCTCCCTCTGTACATAAGTAAACATCCTGCCTGATAGTGCTCCTGGCAGCCCACTCTGCCTGTCACACACATTTAAAAGTCTCTTAAATGCCGTTACAAAAACATCTCAACTGCCTTGATAACTTTGTCTCTATACTGATCTTGAAAAGTAAAATGAATGCATTAAGGTGGCACAGAGCCTTCTAAAAGGACAGATGAATAAGAAGATATTAACAGGCACATACCATATGCAGTATAATATAGTGTTGACTATTTAGTAGTTATGGCTTTTGTTACCACCAGATGACAGTATTTATCCTCTCAGCTTGACTGGACCTTATTACCAAGACATCTATGGACCCCTAGTGGAGGGGCACAGAACTGCAACATCCTGTAGGGCAAGTTCTTACAATGCAAACGGTTTAACCTATTCATCCAACTACTTTATGAAGTGTAAATTTGGATAACATAAATCTCTTGAGCTTTTAGAAAAAATACAGATAGTGTATTTAACTAAATACACGTTTAAGTACACAAAAGCTGCAGAATATATCAGTGACTGATTTCCAAAAGCAGATTTACTTCTCTTAAAACCACTGATGTACAAATTCAGATTCAGATAGATGATTTATTAAACAGTGGCAGGAATAATATTCTTGGAATATTTATCTCTGACTGCAGTGAGTCACATGCATGATAGAAAAGGTCAGTGAAATGGACTGAGTGTGGAGAGAATCACTGCACATTCTTATTTCTCTGCCAAAAGGTCTTCAGTGGTATTAATGTCCTGAAAGACTGTGTGTGAGTCGTCTAGGTCTACTGAGTCTTCATTACACCAGAGCTGGGTCCACTCCTGTCTTCTGCCTTCCCTCATTGCCTCTCCATGTGGAGGCTAGGAATAATGAATTACAGTGGATGCCATGGGGGCCTAAGTGAGTAGCTCAAAAGTGGACTCCATTTTAAGATCAAATTACCTCTCAGATCCCATTCAAATGGCAGTCTACGGCTGCTCAGCCTCCTCTGCATATTCCTGTCTGGGGGTGAAATGATCCGGTCCACCTTTTCTTCATTTAAGACACTGTGATGGCAGCAATTCTTGGTGGCCAATCCTCCAGTGCTCTAGGTCAAATCACAGTTAAATTAAATGAATAAAAGCAAAACATCTACCTTAAAAAGGGGGAACACCCTAAAGAGACAGAATCATCTTTAACAGTGTAAACAACATTCTATGTCTCTGGGATTTATCTGTTCAATCTGCATGCTCAGCCTTGTGTGCCATTCCTCTTCTTCCTCCGCAGGACAATAATAAAGTGACAGCATAAACCTCAGGTGATGACACATTATGCATGCCATTCAAACAAATCCTTCCCAGTGTAAATTAAACACACTCAGTGCAGCGTACAGCCCAAATCAGACTCTGTAAATCATCCAGGGTAATAATAACAACTGAATAAAGGGTAATGGAATAAATCAGGGTATTTCAATTTCATCCTAAAAGGCAGATGAGAAAAAAAGTCTGCATCTCATGAACAAGTCACAAACAGGGAGCAACCTAAAAAAAAAATCACCAATATCCATGCTCATATTTTCTAAAGGTTTAAATATGAGGAGCTGCTCAGTCTGGACTTGACACATTTACTGGTTTTATCAGTTCTAGTAGCAGGCAGGTCTATGTCTGGACATTAAAACACCTATTTATTAAAATATCAGTTATGAAAATCAATTATTCAGCCACTCAGACTATCCTAAAAATCAAAAGCCATGTCACCTGCTGTGCAGCTACACAGACCTGAAATCACAGTGGGTCTACAGTATTATTGCAGACACATCTAAAAATATCACCTACATGAATATCATTAAACAAAGGAAACTTCAGTTGCATAATCCAAATCATGCTCTCAGCCCTACTTAAGATGCACTAAAGGTCGATGGTTGTCATGTTTTAATTAGTCTTCATTAGTAGGCTTAAGAGATATTTCTGGGAAGCAACAGGTATGAAGCCTCTTCATCTTGCTGCTGAGAGATGCACCACGCTGGCAGACGTAACCATGTTGGAAAATCACTGCGCCTAAAATGGCTTTTGACAACCCGCGCCCGATAAGTGACAAATTCACAACATAGCTGCGGCTGGGGGGGTAAAAACAACTCAGGTGCACGGGGGATGAACGGGACTCCGTCGCATATGGCGCTTTCGTGGGAGTCCTGCACTATTTTGGCTAAAAGACACAGGGCGCGATGCCACACAGGGAGAAAGGTCGAATAGCCACTCACGACTGACCTCTT